TAGAAAACTTATTTTCTCTTTTAGAAATTACCTCTCAGTAAAACCCATACAAACATTCTCTTCTCTCAGTCAAGGCGTCGCCTGCTAATTACTTCATCAAATGCAAGGTATTACAAAACGCAATTGCCTTGGAGGCGCACCGCGACTTGAAATCCAAACACATTAGGCACAGTAAACACTCGACTGGCTAAACTCTCGACTTTGTTTCGATGGTTCGACAAACAGGTGTTGATAAGTTTAAGTGGCACCTTTCTGTTTGTCCGGCGATTAACATGGGAGTAATGAAGAGGTTTCGTCTGCCTATTTTTAGGGTGTTTGTGTTTGGGAAGTTCTTTAGCGACTATCAGCGGACATGCGATATCAGACGGTGTGGCGTTAGCGCCTCCCGTCTGGCCAGATAATTGTACTATATAGATACCGCAGTATATAGAGCCGGGCCCGTCTGGCGATGTCAATGGAACTATCGCCCTCCGATTACGAGTATCTCAGGCAGCCGGCGAAAACGTGATCAGTTGTGGTCGGATTCCGATTCAGATGCGGCTGCTGCTGTTTGCCTGAAAGCTTTAACTTTCTATACGTGCGCGCTTGTATATATTTGCATAATAAATCGCATAATTAAGTTTGTTTTAATGCTGATCGTCGAGTGTCGATCGATCGCAATAGTTGCAATGGAAAATTACGCGATCACATTGCAAGCAAAAGACGCAACGAAAGGCAGATTGCCTATGACCCCGTATCGAAATGGCAAAATATCCCTTGCCTTATTTATAGTGCCAGACATTTGGCGTCTTTTCCGTTTCCGCTGCGGAAGATCCCCTTTTGGCACCAAAGGGGCTTGCCAAAAAATACATTTTCGTAATGCCCTGTGATTGTAAACCTACAGGTATAATGATTTTTAAAATGAATATTATTTAAAATCAACTCCATCCCAAAAAATATTTAATCTATGTAAGTTAGGGGTTTAAATTCCAGGAAATATTAACTCTTCAGCTAGAACTCTATCTCTAGGACTTTAGTCATTGGCAATTCCTATTTTCTTAAATCACACATATAGTTTCGGGAATTTTGTATTTCCATTTAATTTTGATTTATATGATCGCACCAAAAAGTAAACAAATCAGAGTAGTGGGCATCGCATCGGCAAACATGTACCGCAGCCTCTGGCTTCTTTCTTTATTTCGCGATCACGCTTTGATCAGATGCTCTAGGTCAGTTACGGCATGCTGATCACACTGCGGCGGTCTGTCTTCTGTCGCGTCCCAAAAATAAGCCAGTTCTATATTTAAGATTTAAGTTTATGCTGCGCAGTTTATCAGCACTTTTGGGTGGTGATCACCCTGACGAGGGGCTCATCGTCTTCGACTGCACTGATAAGGCGCAAGAATCGTTCAGGTCGCGCGCTTCGTTTCTAAATTTAAAACACCGCAAGAGGGCCTTCTGAAACTAGTCTATAAAGTACCCATATACTAAGTAAAGCATTCTATCAGGTCTACAAAAAACTGATAACCAAGCGACTATGGCTAATAATGTGGCTCGACTGATATGGATTGCCGGCCAGTTTCATCAGCCGTTTTTCACGTTTTTTTGCGGTGGGTCCCGCGACGCGTGTCTCTATGCTTATTTATTAATTATGCTTGGAATCAGCTGGTGTTGCCTGGCTTGAGTTCTTTTTTTTTTGTTGGCGAATCGTCTAGATATTTGGTACCTTTCCACTTTTGGCGTGTGAAACTGGGCGAGGGAATTGGATGTTTTCTTTTGGCTCACGCAGCCGGTGAATGATGTTTGATGATCAACGAAAACCATAACCGAAATACCATTTTTCAAGCATTAAATATGAAATCGAAAAAATATTTAAACAACTTTTTAAGTTTGGAAATCGGGAATGTTTTGAAAATAAATGTACAACTTTTTTAACCATTTCACTGTTTTAAAAATCATAATAAATAGTTATAATAAATCTAAAAAATAATAAACAGGTAATTATATTAAATAATATATATAGTACACAAAGTCACCCAACCACGTTCCGGCCACACCTTAAACCAAAGGAAAATGGAAAGTCGCCCGCATAAATTGACAAATCTAAATGGTCCCCGACGACATCACATCCGTTGGAACCCAAGAAACTATAATTACAGCAGCATCCCAAAGACGCATGCATGAGAAAATATGAAAATCTGCTCCAAAATAGACAAGATATATTTATGTGGAAAGTGTGTGCCACTAAATTTGCCAGCGGGTGCAAACGGAGGCTGGGGTAAATGCAATTTCAAGTGCAACCAAAGAGAGAAAACTTGTAGAATGATATAGGATGAGAGCAAAAAAAGAGAGTAGCGTAATTATGGAAGAGAAGAGGGGATAGTAGGAAGCCTGAAAACACCCTAAGAAAAAAAAGGAAGGAATGCATACCTCACTAAAAGGACGTAGAAAAAGGGTGACCAGTAAAGAATGCAAGTTATAAGAAATTTAAAATCTTACATTTGTTAAAAAAATATATTGTAAAAGTATTTTCACAAAATCTGTCCACTTTCCAATGTATGTGATCTTCAATCTGAATTTTTCATTTTGTCATTCAAAATGATCTCTCATAAAATACTTTTTTTAAGCATGTCACAATTCCTATTAAAAAATTGGTACTGAAAGTAAGTACTTTGTACTTAAAGTAAGTACTTGGTTTTATTTTGAGTAGAAAATTCTCAATTTAAGTGCACCGTTCATGAAAAATTGTCTCTGTGTAGAACTTAACTTCTATAAATCAGATTTTTAATTTTTGTAACTTGTTCGCATTTTAGCTACGCCCCTGGACCATTTCATCTGGTCTACGGCGGTAAAATGACCGGCAAACTGCAACGAGCCACTCAAGTAACCACTTCTTTATGCACGCAGGGATCTCTCGAAACCGGCTTTCAACTAGGCAAGCAACTTAGCCGGCCGGCTCTTCCACCCCTTGCCCCTTTCGAAACCCCTTTGTCCACCCAAACCCCCTTTTCGAGAGAGGTTCAATGGGATGCTGCGTTGGCAGTCGAAGAAGAAATGAAGAAAGTGCGCATTCAAAGTACGTTTTTGTTTAAAAGTCATTGAGACACTCGAGAGACAAAAAGCGTGAACCCTTCACAGAGTTGCATTATCATGGGGTTCGGGATGAAATCACGCATTACGAAAGCATTTCTCCGATTAAAATAAAAAGAAAAAATCGTAAATCCATGCACCTAAACCGCCATGAGTGAATGTTACCCGAACACGCACACCAAAAATAGAGCACAGATAAAACTCAAACAGATAGAGTGTCTCCATAGAGAAGGCCCAACAATCCAGCTAAATTTTCGAGTCGAGTCTGAGACTGCATTTTTGTGTAGAGTTGGTTGCATTCAGCGGTTTCCGCTTGTCTGGGACACTTTTGATGTGGGTACGACAGATATCATGTGGGTCGAAAGTGGCCTGAGAGCTAGATGGAAAACGAAAAGGCGACGAGGAAAATCAATTTAAATGGTTCATTAGTTTGGTCTTTGAAATTTTGAGCCTCTTATACAGGTATTAAGTGGGGGGTTTAAATTTTATTCCCCAGCATTATGGAATTGATTCGGAATTTTAAGTTAAAATGGTTAATGTGTTTATGTCTTTTTTAAGTTCACTGATGAATAAATCTGTTAATATCCGTACATAGTATAGAAAAAAGGTATTACGGTTTTATCTTTATGGGAAATATGAAAATCAAAGATAAGAGAAGAGTCTCTTACACAAGACCGTATTGCAAGGGCTAATTGATTTACAGATGTTAAGGGAGCAACCTCACATAAAAGAAATGCGTGGGCAGAGCACACAAACAGAAACCCACTCGAAAACGAGTCGAGTATCGAATGATGCCCTATTTTCAGAGAGAGCCCTCAAATATAAGAGTGAGAGATCACTGTTTTAATATATTTTATAATTAACTGTATTTTTAATTTTGTTAAAATTATTTAGTATTTATCATTCAGCAAACCCTCTACTTAAATAGTATTTTTTCGAAGAATGTTATAATAATCTGTATCGTAGGACTACAATTTAATGGCGTCAAAGTGTTAACTGGGCAGATCAGCGACTACAGTGCACCGACTACGATAAGATAAATGTTCAAACAGCTGACACGGAAAAAGTGTTTGCCAAATCCCTTGAAATTCACTCGACCGCCACGAGGCACAATGGGAAATTTCGACTGTAAGATGCTCCCCGTGCTACTGATCATGTCTCGGGGGGCTGACTCCCGTTTTGACTTTTGTCACCGCCAGCGGCGCCTAAACTAATCAAAGCAACTAAGACTTAAGCTAAACTACTACAACTGCAATCACGGCGGAATATCAAAATGCAATCAAAATATGCAAGCCACGTAGATCAGGGAAAAAGGAGAGGGCAGGAAAAATACACAGAGAGAGCGGGGCTATTCTAGAAAGAGAAGCGAGAAAGGAAGCTGAAATCAGTACACCGAGACTTAAATACCCTTACAAGGGCTACCACTACCAACAATGATAAAAAGTAAAGGTAATAAAGGAAAATGCCAATCGAGATTCCAAAATTAGTAAGAAAAAGTTTGTGTTATATTTTTGTTTAAATGTAAAAACCATTTTTAAATAGTACGAAATGTAAAATAATATTTTTTCTTCAGATGTAAAGTAAATTGGTGGCCTTTTAATAAATCGTTTTTTAAGAATTATAAAAAGTATCATTCTTACTTGCTATTTTATTTATTCGTCTTACCATAAATAAATGCTAAGGTCAAATTATAAAATTTCAAACCGAAATCATTTTCTACTTTTTAAAATCCTTTCAACTCCAGGGATTCGTTTCGTCCTGCAGTCTAATATAATTTTTATAATCTGAGGGGGTGTGACTACGAAACGAGCTGTCGTCTAAACTAATAACACCCTTCGAAAGGGTATGAAAACGCCCACTCTCTCGCTCTCTCTTGCCGATCGCCGGGAAGTCTTAACGGCAAGTCGAGGCAACAAACATTTTCATTCGTTTTCGCAGCGCCGAAGCGTACGGTTCATAGGAGGAACGGAACGGAGTGGAACGGAACGAAACGGGGAACGCGACGGAAACTAGTTGTTGCTGTTTTTTTGTCCGTGCTTAAAAAAAAATTAAAACAAAAAATTAAGTAACACTTAAGCAAAGTCCGCGTGAAAATCAATTAAAAATCGTTCGTCGTTTTGTGCGTGTGACCACTAAAAGTGCCCCGATCGGAGGATTTTAATAAATTCAATTAAGTCCCGTCCCAAAGATCGCTTTCATTGTCTGACGCACTCGCGTGATGAACAAGTGAAAGAGTAAAAATATAAAAAAAGAAAGATCACAGCTAAAAGCAAAGTGATTGACTGCACAAGAAAAGTTCCTTACCTCCCAACCAGAAGTCAAAAGTGAAGCGGAAAACAGAGGAGATAACAACTAACGGTTAGTTGCAAACTTCCAACTGAGAAATAAACAAAGCTAAAGCTAAAAAATATCATCAAAATAGTTGAGATATGAGGTTTTTTACCATGTCACTGTTAATAATAATATCATGCCAAATCTTCATCACCTTGTTTTGAATTTGGACCAAACTAATATATGCAAATCTCATTATGGAAATGGTATTGCTCTACTACACCCCTGTGTATACATCATTAAAACCGATTCCACCTGAGATTAGCAATCAATACGAAATTACATAAATATATATTTCTCGCGATCATGCATTCTATTTACATATTACTTTCCAATTAATGTTCGTTTATTGCCGCTTTGCTGCGCTTCAATTAAAAACAAAAACAAATCGTTTAATATTCTATATTTTTTACAGGGGCTTCCACAGAAAAAGTTCCTTGTTTGTAGAGATCATTGTAATCAGCGCAGATCGAAGCCATATATAAAATGATTTCACACAGTCCGCCCATATTCAGTCACAGTCCACCCGTTAGTTTTCTGGCGGACTTCATGAGCGGACATCAGCGTCAATCGTTAAAGTAAGTTTACAAAAAATACAGACATCATAAATAAATATTCCCAGCAATTGGGCTAATTTAATACTAAATTGATTGAAGTGAACACACGAGTTTCGGCTGCCAATCAAATTAAATAAAATAATCAAAAATCATTGAAGAGGTTTTCTTCTTTTAATGTTTAACTTTTCGTGTCATGTGTTAAAGCGAACTTTCTATTCTATTTTTTATCGGTTGATAAGACACCGTAAATATTTTCTGATACATCTTTTAAGAATTTCAACAGCTGTGTACGTGCTAATGAAAGAAACGAAAAAATGTCGATAAAAATGTCGGATTACCTGACTTTAAAAGAACATTGTGTTTAAACACTTCCGTTGTTTATATTGAAGAAGTGATATTGAGTGAATTTAAATAAAAAATTTAATAAAACGTTCAAAAATAAACCTACAAATGAAATAAAAACAATACACACGTTTGTTGTATTAATTTCCATTTTGTAAATATTTAAAACACATCTGAACATTCAAAAAGCCATATAAATTTCAAATACCCAAACATAACCCACATTGGCTATATAAACAGAGCTGGAGGGCACAATTTTAATTAACTATTGTAAGAAATTCAAATGTTTAAAGGTGTGGAAATGAAAAATCGATCTGTATTGAGGGCTGCCAATATTGATTTAGTGAAAACACCTGTTCCAAGTGTCGCTTAGAGACATTTCAGCACCTGATCAAAGGAGGGAAAAACCTTTACTCACTAAAAATTAATTATAAACCTGAGACATTTTCAAGAACACAATAAATGCAGGCACTAAAAATATTCGCGCGACTAAGGCTCGCTCTTTGGTTGACAACAGGTTGGCGAAATATGAAATGAAAGCATTCAAGATCAAGGCAAGACAGACTGCTGAACCAAAACAAACATTTCGCCGATGCTGAGGTGATCTTTTGTTGGTAGAGCCGAGGGAGATTTGGAGAATCGTTCACGAGTCGGGGAGATGACGGCGAAAAATTGCTCGCTTGGCGACAATTTTGCGCGTGGCGCTTCGACATCACTTTTTTTCTTCTCAGGGGCACACGAGCAACCCGAAAAATATGACAAATCGTTAGAGGAAAGAAGGGTAAATGTCTTACATAGCTAGGGGCAAAAGCAATTGATTCAATAAAACCAATTTTGCGCGCTTCATTTGCTGCACGCGCTGCATTTTCCTCATATTTGTAGTTATATTTTTATTTTCGGGAATGATAAATATACAATAACAAAAATTCGTATAATTTATGGGTATATATCTGTCAGTTTGAGCTAAAAATAAATATATATGTAGAATATGGCCAAGCAAAACAAATAGGCAAAAGAAACGAGGAATATTAAACGAATAATCAGTTAATAAGATTAAAGAAGTCCAAAAGACGAAACCTTCAAGAATTTGCGGTCTATGAAAGAAAGCCCAGCTGGGAGTCCAAAAACTATCAACATTTCTTATCAGGGCACGTGAGCGGCATGCCTTCAAACAAACCCTAACACTCCAACCAACTCAAGTAACTCAGTTGTTAATGCGTCAAATCACTTGAAATTTCTCAGCGTGATTTTACAACAGCTTGCCCTACCCAATACCTAAAATCACCCACGTAACTCAGCGGGTGTTCAGCGAAAGCACTTGAAATTTTTTCAAGTTGCCAACTCAAGCACTAAATATGCTGATATAGTGTCCAGACAGCAGCAATTAGCCAGAAAAGGTGGTGATAACAGCAGCGCAGACGGAAAAGATCCCATAGCCAGGCCCACGCCAAAAAAGCCGTAGCAGCATGCCACCAACATATGTTCAGCATGCGAAAGTCCACGCGAACCCCATCGAACGTTATCAACCATTGACTTTTAGTTTTATGAATGTCTAGCCGAAAAATTATGATAACTATAAACGGGATGCGAACTGTGCCGAATGAGTAAGACCGGAGAGTGTCTGCCGAAAATACATTTTCACCGATGACTCACCGAAGAACCCAAACAAATATGCTTCAATTCAATATTATACGTTACCCCACGACAAACCTAAATCCAGTGGGGAGGTCGTGCGCAACTCCTCTTATCAGCGATGTTTCTTTATAGACAATACACTGGTATCAGTTGAAGTACAAGTACAAATACGAATAGTACATAGGCCTCCGAACAATGAAGGCAAACATTAAGGCAGTAAAAATTTAAGACACCACTCTTATCAGGCCTGATAAAAGGCAGCTTGATGCGTAGATGTCCGAAATAAAAGACTGATCCAAGGATCTTCTTTTCTTTTTTTCACAGTAGCTAAAAGATAACAAGAATTGGTCAAAACAATTGAAAGATTGCGGCCATCTGGTGATGCTTTAAATATAGAAATTATATTTTCAATACGTGGCGTGAGATAAACATTTTAGAAATGCTTTTGTGAGAAATAAATCTCTAGAGTTTTGAAATAATTAGTATTTAAGTATGGTCAATAAAATATGTTATTAATTTATTTCTTTTCTGCCATTTCAGCTACAATGACGAGCCCAACAGAGCGTCGCGCTACTGCCGGCCCCAAGTGATAACTCTGGCCTCCAAAGCCATGGTCAACAACGCCTCGGCGGCGGTCCAGGGCCAGGGTCCCAGTCAGCAGAAGGCGGGTGCCACGCCTCTGGGCGTGGGCAGTCGATCCGGACGCAGTTACCTGGAGCGTATGGCCTCGGCTCCGCTGCTCACCAATCAGCCCAAGTCCTGTCTCAGCCGCAAATCCTGCCTGCACAAATCCCAGAACAGTACGGCCAGCTCGGCAGATCTCTCGCCGACGGACACTGATGTCACGGACAGTGCCAGCCATAGCTGTATGTGCAGCAAGGACAGCGACAGCAACTGCGAACTGAGGTAAGTGGGCGCGGTCGATAAGATTACATCATGGAGGTAACTCGATATAGCGACGGCGAACCGATCAAGAAGGCTGTAAAAATGCCGGTGGGTTCAGTCACTTTGACGTCAGGCCCTCGAAGATAATGGCGCCGCACTTACTAAACCACCAACTGAACTAGATGGGACTTTTGTGGGGCGAGAGTCTAGGTAATTGTGGTCAGAATAGGGTGTATCAACCCATGGGTGATTCATTGAGTAGTAAGATATCAAACGAGGGGAAAATCTTGAGGAAAACCAGAGAAAGTGGAGTAACACAAGGAGCTAGAGATGTTTTTCATTTGGTATTAAAACCAAGTAACTAGGTAGCCTGTGGCTAGAAAGAAATCAAAAGATCATTTTCAAGGGTTTAAATATCATCAAATTCAAAGATCAGTATATATATAATCAAAATTACGAACTAATTTAAAGTTAATTAATAATGGGTAAAATATTCAAATATTATGCTGACTATAAAAAGTTGGTTAACTCATTGGTATTCCAATAAAAGCCATCAAAATGTAATGTCCGCTTGGAAAATATAAAATCGACGATTAAATTTTTATGAGGCATCTGCGATAGTTGAAGTAAAAGAAACAAGAAAATCTGTTGGCAGTTGAACAACTTTCCCACAGACGTCATAGCCGAGCACATGTCATTTGTTAAATAAGCAGAGAAAGCAAATTGCATACGGCCGCCAGGCTAAATACAAGCAAAAAGATCATAAAATATACTCGAATTTACACTTGAGATATATATTTAAGAACATGCAATTTCACAAAAACAAAATATAAATTATCTAAATGACTGTAGAAATCTGCCAAAATAAAAACACGCCACTGCATCGCGAGTCGGGAGGATCTATCTAGTATATCTCAGATAAAAAACCGCGCATATTAAGACCAGAGAGCTGCAACGAGTCAATCATTTTCGGGTACACCCGATCATTTACTCGTATCCGTTTTGATTAATCGCTTCGGGTGAGCGAAATGAAATGAGCGGTGAGCGAATGCGATCGTGCCATGAATGATCGTTTGTGATCGTTCAAGTGTGTGATCTGATCGTGTGTGAACGTTCGGCTTGAAGATTTTACCCGTTTGTGATCGAATATTTTGTGCAATCGATTGGTGTGATCGTGCTTCGCGCCTATCGGTATGACAATGCAGTTCGTGTTATTGCTTTATATTTGGCACAACATATTTTTATATTTGCACAAAATGACAACAAGTAATAGATTTTAAAAGCGTTTTAGAACTAATATCAAATGGAAGCTACACGTTGTCAGGCCACCGGAAAGGAAAAAGTTTCATATGGAATAAATATTTCTCAATAAACATATATGTACACACAAAAATAAAACTTGGTAAAATCAACTGTAATAATTGTCAAACAGGCCCTAACCAGCAAAATTGTCAATTCTACTAAGTAAATAGTCATTTCACAATAACAAAATACACACAATTAGCAAAGACACAAACCCAAAGCAAAAACAAAATACACGTAACCATTTTAATAGTTACGTAACTATCTTTGTTGGTCAATTTTACCAAGTTTTTTTTTTGTGTGTAATACATTGAAGTGCACTCTCCATCTATTTTATTTCGTCGTCACAAGAAATCATATTAATCCGTTCACAATCTATTCATGTACAACTGACTCGAGGTCGCAATCATCGGGAACGATTGAGCGCTTCGGAACGATCATTTTGTTCACCTACACCCGAAGTTCAAAATCACATCATTGATCGTTACGAAGCGAGTCGGGTAGTTGATCGGATCGTACTTTGGCTTTCGGGTTTGTTCGTGATTATTCGTTGCCGAGTGAGTTTACCGGATTAAACGAAAATGATCGCGCGATGATCGATCGTACTCGATCATACTCGTTGCAGCTCTCTGATTAAGACTCAAATCGGTATAGACTGATATTTAGTATAGATCGCAAGAGAGAGGCGCCATTGTATTCGTTTTTCCTCTCCATTTATCCATAACACAAGTATAGGGAATACATTATCGATTCATAAACAGGCCATGAAAATATTTGGGTTATTGATGTCTCACAGATATTGTGTAAAAATATATTTCGCTTTCAGCAAGCCCTAGAAAAGTTTTCCTTCTTTGCACTTGAATCTGACATTTTGAGAAATGCCTAAAAATACACGCGCCACGAGATAGAGAAAATAATTTATACGTACATTTGCGTCAAAGGCGAGCACTATTTCTATTTGGGCAATGTCTAGGAGATCGGGCTTAAAGCTTCACAGCTTCTCAGACGAATGCAATTACCCGTAATATTATCAATGTAAACCAGACGTGTACTTGTTGTAGATTTTGTGTACACTTTGCGGTTGCGTATTTTGTATGCCTTGTTTTATCAGTTACGACATCCACAGAGAAAAATTATTTAAAACTTTTATTTAAAATTATTGGAATAAAATCTATTTACAAAAAAAATAAATGATTGAATCTCAAGTCAAAAATAAACAAAAGTGCATCTTTTAAAAAGTCTCAATTAAACGCATGAAAACCTCATCCATCACCTTCCAAAACTTTCCGCATCAAACTGTCACTTTTATGGACCTTCTGCCCCTCTTCCTTCAATCACATTTGACAGCCTATGAAAAAGCTTTCTTTTGTCTTAATTAGCCTCCCCAAAAATCATCAAGATCAACCACAAAACGACGCAGACGGGTCACGTCAAGGCCGAAGAATTATTAGCCTAGAAGCGTGATCGCTCTTAAGCGAAAGGCGTCATTTTATTAGATACACAATTTTTTCGGGTGTAACGTAACTAAAAATATTTCAACATTACAAGCCTCGAAATACGAATGCACACAAACGTAAGGTTATATATAGAGATGGGGAGATATGTCTGATGTTCATGCAAAGATCACGTGAATCAATCAGAAATGTGAGGCTGAGGCAGATGTGTCTGCTGTAAAAATGTTGGCGCACCATCAGTCGAAAAATGTGAGAGAATTGCGTAAACTTACAAAAACCTATTTTCCCTTTTATTTTCAATAAGTTTTATTGGTCGACATAAAAAGTCATGAGGAAAGCGAAAAGCGCGACAAAAATATTCCCAGTAAAAACTATTTTCAGTCTCTTACTATTTGGACTTTGGATGTGCGTAGGGGAAATTTTCGAAAAATCTAAAAGCTGGTGGATATGAAATAGAAAAACCTGACAATTTGGCGACATAAAAGACGGAAATACCTTGAATCATTTACAAAAAAAGTAGCCCATTTGTAAGGTCAACTAGAATGACCATCAAATCAGGCAGTTGTAAAAATTTGAACAGGTCTTGGCAGAATACTTTTTCAGACGGGTTATTGACTTAAGAAAATGGGGGAACTCGAGCAAGGTCTACCGATTGAAAACTGAGGAAATTAAAAAGTATTTTTAGACATCATTTTTAATTTTTACACGAATTGCTTCTGATTTTAAAAAGCCCTTTTACCGAACACTCAAAACTCGTTTCTCCTGCCCCCATCAACGATCTTAATGCGGCTTGCATATTGAGGAGTTTTTAAATTTATGGACTTGTTGTAAACCGGACCCTCGAAAATAAATGCGATCCGTAATGCATACGGAATTATGGTTGCCTTTGGCTGTTAAGCAAATGCAGTTGATAGCCGAAACTCGTTTCCCTTGGAGAAAATATAAGCCAAATGGGGAAAAATGAATGGAAATGTAAATGATTTTTTTTTTTTTTAGTTTTTCGGCTGATCTCGTTTATAGTTGACACGTTTCAGGAAAGCGGTCGAGAAAATACAAGAAAAAACCGAGACCCGTCTGCGGTCTCCGATTTCTGGTTGGTCTGCTGGGCGTTGAGGCCCACACACCAGATAAGCGATCGAAAAGAAACCTGTTGAAGAAAATGCAGCAACAGCAGGCGCACACCGATCATGCCCTCGATGCGTGATCGTCGATAGTCGCTTCGATCCGATCCGATTCGAACTGAGTCGGGTGGTGCGATCTCCGGCCAAACAGCCATACAGCCGGCGTTCAATAAACAGAGAGCCAGCCTGGCAATAGCCATTTCAATTGCTGGCTATTTGTACTTCCCATATATATTTAGCACTCGATGCGTTCCCGCTGACTCCCCTTCAATTTGCAGACCAAATAAATTCTGCTCTGTGTGGGGGGCATTAGTCGCTTTTAGTCTAACTGACGGAAACTTTTTGGTTTCTCAGCGTTAGTTGATTTATTTTGTTTTGGCAACAGCCAAAACCCCTAAAAAAATCGAGCCCCTAACGAAGCTGATTAGCCAAAATTAGTCGCAATATCTTATCGATTTTATGGCCAACTTTCTAAATAGAACGTTTTTTTAGATTGGAGCGAAGTATGATAACACAAAAGAGAAGAGGAATAAAATATTATGTTGAAAAGCATTAAAAATCCCCGAGCCAGGATCAAAGGACAATACATATTTTACAAACTATTGTGCTCCAAAATAAAGGAATTCTTCCAGAATGTCTTCAAATATTTCTTTCACACTTCATCATCATTATCTTTCACATATTTGGGTTAATTTTACTTCCAAATACATATATACTTACCATACAGACAATATTATATATATTTAAAAATTCCAAGGGATTTCAGTCTTTTGTCAGACTCCAAGAAATTTGTGTTTCCGTCGTGTTCTGTTCCAAAATTTTCGTTGACTATTTCCTATATTTTGAATCACGAGTTATCCTATATATCTTAGTGGGGTGTGTTTTTATTTACATTTAAGCCAAAGACTCGTGGGAAGAGTCGCCAATAAAAAAGAAAATGGAAAGCAAAGCGAAAAGTAGGCGTGTTTTACATATAGATTAAGGCAAATCTTTGGCGAAGTCGTACGTGACTGCTAAAAATAAATTCAAAAAATATACAATACACATTACTCTTTTAATGACGCAGGGCATTTTTCGGGAACGGCATTTATTAAAGGAATGTAAATGCTTTAGGAGAAAAGAAATAACATACAACGGGAAAAGTTATTTTTTATCGGTTGCGGATGTTAGAAAAGGCCAAGTAATTGGCAGAAATTGGGAAGATCTTCCCATCTGACAGGGTCCTTAAAAATGCATTTGGCAACGACGCAGTTGGCTAAACTAAAATCAAAACAAACCAATAAAATGAAACTGTTGAGCATAAAAATAGAAATCTTCTCGGAGAAAGATGCCGAGTCAATGACCATAAAGTAATAAAATATATATTTCCAAATGGTTGACCCCCCATTTGGAAAACTGATAAAGCCCGGGTCAAATCTACATTTAATAATATATATTAATAAAGAATAATTTAATTATAATATATTGTGATGTACTCATCGGATGGGAAATATTTTTTTTGCAGCCGTGGCCCCAAAAAGCATGTGATCTTTGCCGATGATGAGGGTCTATCGCTAACCGAGGTTCGGGTGATGTCCGAACCCTCAAATGTGCCACCCTATTGGAGCATGAAGTTCTTGGAGCAGATAACACAGGGCCTGGTCAGCCCCCATCCGCCAGATCAGTGGACAGTGGACTTCAAGCAGCCAGCCTCAGACTATCTATCATTTAGGTGAGTTTCAAGTCAAAACTAAAGTAATATTCATTATATTATTTTTAAACGATTAATAATATTTTCTTCCATTACAGACAAAAGATAGATCGGGACTTCGTTTCCCTCGAGAATGTGATTGTTAAGGATGAGGAGTCGATTGTGGTGGGCACCATCAAGGTGAAGAACATCGACTTCCAGAAGGAGATCATCGTCCGCGTGACCTGGGATGACTGGAAGAGCCAACAGGACATCTTCTGCACATTCGCCAGGGCCTATGGACCAACTACTTGTGCCCACGTAGTCTTCGATACATTCTCCTTCAAGATCACCTTGCCGCCGTCCTCCAAGCGCCTGGAATTCTGCATCTGCTACCGCACCAACGACACCGAATATTGGGATAATAATGATGTGAGTTGGATTTTTAAATAACTAAGAAATATTTTATAACAATCGTTTTCACTTACAGGGTAAAAACTACACCATCAGCAAGCGATCGCCCTTTTATTACAACGCCTTGTCGCCCTATGATAAGGGTCAGAATCGCAACTCGAGCCAGCAAATAAGGTCCACCCTGACCGATGCCTTGGCCAAGGTGCAGAACCAAAATGGCTGGCACCAGGAGCCGCATACGCCATATTGGTGAAATCGCCTGGGAACGGGAATGGGTTTTCCCCACCCCAGCGATTGAATAAAGTTTCTCATTTAGGCCACATGAACAGAAAGAAACAGAATTGGATCAGATTATAAAATTTATAAACAATTTTAGAGACAGAGAGAGAGTCTAAAAGATTTTTATCACTAACGAATCCTTTTGACTTAAGCTTATAACTGGTACAAATATCCCAATTTTACAGTGCCATTAACTTGAGGATAACTCAATGAAAAACGAGATAGAGGGGCTTATATCTACTTCTACTAAGCAAAAGCCCGAATTTGTATGTTTTGTCTTTAATCAACTCGATGGAATTTCTTTGTATAACTTTCTAAATGTTTAATGTTCGATTGTAAAGAATTTTTGGAAAAGCTAGATTTATATGTTTACCTGTATGTCTGTGTGATCGTCTACATCTATATAACTGATATTAGATTAATGTAACTAAAAACGAAAAAACCCATAAAAAAGATATGAATTTTGAGGCGTGAAGCATCCAAGCAAACCATTGTTTCGAAATTTTCTGCAATTGCAAAATAAAGAAAACAACAAAAAACACACATACACAATTAAAAACAACAAAATTGTAGACTTAAGTTTATTCTTTTAATACTTTTCATTTTTTATCCTTTTTATTTCGTTATACAATTTTTTCCTTTTGGTTATTTGAAACGCTAAGACTGAAATGGCTTGTTATGGAGAAGAAAACACGTCCTGCAATACATTATATAATATAATAAAATAAACACACAACTATTCGCATCATCACATCAGACACAACAAATTTCTTTGTCCTCATCGTTCTGTGTGATCCAGATCCCCAACTATACACGATATACACCTAACTAGATTTAAGCGATTTGTACATACAGAAGCAAATGCTATCAATATACCAGAAAATTGCCTGTTAAATACATTTATATACATATGAATTTAGTGATGTAACGATGTCTAGCTTGTAGTCCTTAGAGGTTATTTAGTTAGTAAGGCGCCCAACTGACGTAACGTGAATGAATCAACTATATATGTGCCCATATATAAAGCGTACTCTATAATTATTTAGTTTTTACTGAACTTATGACCCAACGAGCCATTATATTGTCTTATTCAGCTCAATGCTCATAAACAAAATAAATATTTTTGAAAAACATTTCGAATTTTTAATTCTACGGAAGCTACTTGAGATTTAATATTATTGTATAATCTTTGGATCAATGTCAATCCATTTGTCACATTAAGATGCCGAATTTGAGAAATATCAGTGTTCCTTCTTTCTATTCTCAAGTTATATTGGGTACCCTTTTAACAATTTCATTGCATTTCCAACAGTAGAGCGTCTATTTTGACCTGAAATTTTTAAGACAGGGGAGGTTTTTGAATTTAAACGCCATAAAAATTTGGTAATACTATACATAAGCGGGCTCACCCCCGAAATTCGCGAAAAAATTATCCTCGATGGACCGCGATTTCTTAAGAATTTACGTGCAAAAAGAACTTTGCGGTCGGCCATGGTTCACTTGTAATTGAATTTCAAAGTTCCCGGGTTTGCTATAAAAAACAAGGGTGCTTTTCTCATATTTTCAATCAAAGTAATTACGTTTAAATAAGTTCCTATAAAATTAATTAATTGTTTAAATGAGTTCCTATAAAATTATTTAATTTCTTAAGTGAGTTCCTATAAAAAAAGTGTAGACTTTTGTCACATTTTTTTAATTGTATTTTTTGTCTAATGAAAAAACGTATGCAAATAATCATGTTATGAGTGGAGCGTGGTCTATAAAGGACATGATTGTCACAATGCTGTATCGAGATTTTAGTGACGGCCAGGAACGATCATAGCCATCCAAGGTCCCCCACCATTTTAATGCATTAAATGAAACTCAAACAATTTGTATCTTTATATTTATTTAAATAGTTTCAATGAACACTTTTCCGCACCACCATTGAGGTAAAGTTCCAGGCGCGTTTTTTTATAGTGGTGTCCCCCTTAGGCCTAGTCCACGCTTCAGATCCGAATATAACAAAGAGTCTCCTAATTAACAGCTGAGTTGTTATTGAAGGTGTCCTAAAAATATATATGCGAAATTTTATGATGTATGTTAAATATGAAATTGAAACATCGTGCAAGTACAAATTTAAAAAAAAATGGAACGAGTCACAAGTAAAATTTGGCATTTGGCATAGCGGCGATTTTTTTTTAATTTCATGCCAAATTTTACTTGTGACTCGTTCCCTTTTTTTTTTTAATTTGTACTTGCACGATGTTTTAATTTCATATTTAATTTAGTCATATTTAACATGACTTGCTCTTCGGGTTGTACATATCCGCCATGGCTGCAAAAAAGAAATGAAGCTGCACGGTGTGCGGTTTGTGCTTCTTTAAAAAAGCGAAGCGCGCCAAATATCCTTCATAATTTTCCTTTTTCCGGCCATAGTGCGGAATGGTCTCTTTAAGGTCTCGCCACAGACGCTCAATTTTTTGGGTGTTGGCCTTCGTGACTGGGTCAACAAAATTGACGGAGTGGTTGACCTTCAGATGCTGATAACCTACGTCATCTAAGCAATCATAGGCTCTCCAGCAATCGGAGATGATGGTGGGCCCGGCAGCGATCTTCTCTTGGATCAGTGGTAGCAGAGTGTCCTTTGACCGGTCCTCTACCGGAACAATGAAAAAGTCGCCCGTCTCGCGATCAATGCCACCGAAGACCCACTGACCCTCGATTATTCGGCCACAGATATATTTCCTGCGACCAATCTTCGTCTCGTCGATTTCCACAGTCGCACCATCGCCTCCAATTACGGTCTTGACCATTTTCTCCGACCAATCTACATATATTTCCCTAAGGAAGTTCGTCCAGTCGCCCACGGTTTTGGGCGCCCATCCCAATTCATCCTCCAAAAATGAATATGTGGAGCCCTTCATGTTCCACGCAATGACTGACTTGCATACCTCACTGAAGGACACATGAGCCTTTTCAAAGAATGTGTTTTTGAAGGCACTTTCCTAAGAAATTACATTTTTAGTGTATATAATATAATTTTTGAATATATAAAAATGAAAAGCTTGCCTTAAATGGACACTGCCTCTTTGTTTTCTTCTTTTTGTTGAAACTTTCAACTGCGAGCCTTCGCCGGCATACAAACATTATTGTTCCACCGTCTTCGACCACTTTGCATGGGATAAGGCAGGTTGGACAGTCGCGCTTGTCCAAAACTACTCCGTGATCTTGTAAAAAGCGGAAATGAGCTTTCTCATCCATACCGAGAAACTTTGCAAAAGTTACAGAGCAGGACTGGCACGTCATGTTGAACAATATGAATCAATAAACAACAATTCTTGATACAAATTTGAATATTAGGGAAACTTGAAAGACAAGTCGATTTTTATAGCAAGTACGAGAAAAGCACCCTGGTTTTTTATAGTAAACCCAGGAACTTTGAAATTCAATTACAAGAGAACCATGGCCGACCGCCAAGTTCTTTTTGCACGTAAATTCTTAAGAAATCGCGGTCCATCGAGGATTATTTTTTCGCGAATTTCGGGGGTGAGCCCGCTAATGTATAGTATTACCAAAAATTGGTTTTTATAATTATATGCTCAACTTTGCTTAGGTTTACCTCCCTAATTAATCAAAGTCCCTTAAAACCACATTTTCAATGTCAGGGAAACCATTTATTGGCCTTTAGGTTATCTCCTCGAGACTTCTGACGTAATCGCTGGCACAGGCAAGCCATAACCAGTTCCCAATAGATCGAAAAGATTAGAAAATGCATCTAGGTAGTGTTTTTATTTTATAATTTAATTTATTCAGAGTGCCTTCTTGGATAGCGGGTCAGACAATTGAAACAGCATTAATATCATATTCGCATGTGTGGCCTTGAGGGGCGTGGGGCAGCGGGTAGGGGAGAACAAGGGGGCTGGACATCAAGGGTACAACATACAGACATACTTTCTAGCGGAAACTAACACACATAGGGTTAAATATAGCACATAGTATTAGATATATGGAATTAAATACTTTGAACTTGAGTGTAGCTTAGTTACGTAAGACAGAATGTTTAGCGATTAAAGTTAGAAAGATTGGTCTATATCGAAATGAGAATAAATTGCTGAGTCAGAGAAATGCGTAAGTATTGCTTCTGGAATGTACACGTGCAATGGCACACACGCAACATTGATGTATTGTTGTGAAGAAATAAGCAAAAGGCTTTCGGCTATACAGATATCGAAAATGCGTTAGAAAGTAAAAGTATGTTGCTCCTGGGTCTGCCCACAATCGCGCCAACTAATCAACTCTGGCCTAAAAGTAACCGATATTGGACTAGCCCACTTATTGCTGCTTGGCCTTCAGGCTGGCGGGCATCTCTGGGGGTGGGGGTCGGGGAATGCCCAGGGCGACCTTCACACCGTCGTAGATGAACCACTGCAGGGCGGTCAGAGTACCGATCATGATAATACGGGGCGTCAATCCGTTCCACATTCCGGTGAAGCCCAGCGACTTGGCCACCTGAATGGCGCTGGCTCCCTTGGCCTGGTTCAGCTTGGAGACCACCACATCAGCGGGATGGGACACCACGGCGCAGAACACACCGGCGATGTAACCAGCGGCGAAGGTCACGATCAGCTGCTCACCCTTGGTGCATTCGGCACGGGGCTTGGGCACCACATACCTAGGGAAGATTGCATCATTAGTATCGATTTAAACGGGGTTGTTTGTCCAAACTTTGAACGGTATCGATTTGCTCTAGTTTTCACATAAAATAAATACCAAGTATTTTAAAAATCATACGCTTTAACAAGGATGTTTTAAGCCCTGTGTTGTGTTAACCATAATATTCTTTAAAGCGTGGCTGATACAGAAAATTGGACAAAGTACAATAAATTATGTTGTTAGATATAGCTTTTAAAATAATGATAACAGTTATTAATTTTTAAACAAAATAAGAACTTTTAACATTTTAAATTTTTACTTTTGCATATATACACGAACAGGTAAAGACTAGTTATCCGCTGACTCGTTAAAATTAATTTGCACCTAAAGAATAATTGAATTAAGAAGACCTTCATTTTTCTCAATTAGCAGATCACATCCGTTATCTTAAAGATTTTAATATTTTTGCAATATCTTTATAAAATTAAAATTATTTACTAATATCAGATTCTATGAATTAAACGAAAACCAGTGCAAATTCGAGAAATAAATGTTACTTACTTGTAGAGCAGCTCAACGGTGCGCTCGAAGCAAGCGAACTTCATCATGGTGTAGGGGATCTGTCGCATCCACAGGGGAACCAGACCCTTGTAGAAGGCATTGACGCCCTCCTCCTTCAGCATCTTAGGCACAGCCTCGCGGAAGTTGTTGGCGAATCCGGGGATGGTCTGGATCTTGACCTTGGCGGCCTCGAACGGCGACAGAGCGATATCGGCGAAGAACTCGGCCGAAGCGGAAGCAGCCAGATACAAGGAGGTGCGGTAGAGGTAGGCGTTCTCCTCACCAATGATATCGGCGTACTTTACCTTGAACACCTCGTACAGACCGAACTTGCACAGACCCTATAAAAAACAAAAGACAGTTTTTAGTAAATGAAGGCATTTCTTTGTTGATTCAAGATAGCTCGCAGAATTCTATGTTACTTATGTACTCTTTTATCTCAAATAAATTAAGTTATAAAACTTATCTTATTATTTTATTTTCGGTATCGGACTTTTTTTGTAACTTAATATCAAATAATAATTCATCAGCAAAGGCTATTCAAATTAAACTATGATATAGTGTTTCGAGTTAGAGATAGGTTTTAGTAAAGCAAGGGTATAGTATGACTATCCCACACTTATTAAGACATCTATAAGTGATCGATGGTTAACATTGGGGTCATTTCTTCCTATTTCAAGCCCGGAACCCTAGCAATTAGGGTCACCTGACCAAGTCACGAGTGGAATGCATATAATCCCCCTCCAGACAATTATGTAACCATTAAATCCCAATCTCACCTGTGCCGAGTAGCCCAGCAGGGTGGGGAACCAGCCCTTGGCCAACCCACGGGCGCCCTCCTCCGCCACGGTGACCTTGAATCCGTGGAACAGGTTCTTGTACTTGGCCTGGTCGACCTGCAGACGGCACTTGACCAGATCCAGGGGGACCACAAAGGTGTGGGTGGTGCCGCAGCTGAGGATGCCACCGATTCCGCACAGGGCGAAGTACTTGGAGCTGCCGAATTCGCAAGAGTCCTGATTTCCAACTGGAACCGGGGCAGAGGCGGCGGCAATCTGGCGACCTTCAACCGGCTGGGGATCCACCACCACAGGGGCGGCGGCATCGCATCTTGCCGACGTCAGGGGGGTGCGGAACGGCGAGTTCCGGGCAGTTTCAATGAAGCTGGAGAACATCTTGTTTCTGTTCTGGTTCTTGGGGTCGGCTGAAAGTATTTGGACCATTGATTAGTTACGTACCACAGACATGTGCTTTATCTAATTATATATAGCTGGGTAATCAGCTGCTTTTCGCCATTGTAGGTTACATAACGGCGTGCCCTGAGTTCCGCGCCTACAGACTTACGGGGCTGGATTTACCCGAGAAGCGGAAAAAGGAAAACAATCACGGGAATTTTGTCTGTTTTCAGGGATTTCTGACGAACGGCTCGCTTACTTCGATTTTACTTTGACCGAGTCTTATGCAATTTTAGGGCCCCGATTTTTGCACTTACACTTCGTCAGCAACGTATTCGGCTCGTGGGCGGGGATTCAAAGAATGAGGGGGGGCTCACAGCTGTCTAGCTATCTGGCCGTAATACCGAAACGCCTCGCTCGAAAGGGTGAAAGAGCTGGCATGTACGACCCGACCACAACTGGTCACACTTATTTGGCGGAAAATCTATTTTACACTTAAGGTTCCGAAAACAGCTCTCCTCTCTGAAAATCTTTTACTTCCAATACACGCCGTTGAAAAATGCACGGAAAAGCCCATTTCACGTAAAGGAAAATTAAAGCACAGCAAACTCTAGACTTGAACCGTGGTGCGAAACTCTGACAGAACCTTACCGAAGACCCAAACCAGCGGTATACCCTTTCTAAGTGCATAACGATTTTACTTGGCCCCTTACAATATTATTTCTTTTGATAAGGTATAATTATTCAGCAGAACGCAAAACACTAAAGAAATTAAAACTAATTTTTAGATACAGTGGCTCAGAGCTTAAATTATGAAGAGCATAAAACGGTGAACTTAAATGGAATATTTCTAAATATTTTTTTTCTCGAATTTCAGGTTTTGAGGGTCTCCCAAACTAGAGTATTACGAAGCTGATAAACAGGATATTGAAATTCAACCATTCAGCAATTGAACAGTTTAGGGAATCCCCTAACTGTTTTGCAAAGAAAAATAATTTTCTTTACAAGATCGATTTTTTGAAAATATCGATGTTTTTACCCCTAGTGCGTTTAACTAGACTATCGATATATTTCGTTAGCCCTGGACCAATGGGGTTCACCGATCCGGCAACGCCACACGGACTGTGAAATAGAAAAGTCGCCACTGATTGTTTACCCTCCAATTTTAATATTTGCTTGAGCCTGCACTGGTCGTGCTTGCAATTGTCGCGATGGCCGAAAAACTGGGGGCTCACCTACCGCTGGTGACCATAAAGAAGACGAGGCACAAGTTGGAGTTAATTTTGCGGGGAGAGCTTGCGGAAAGAGAGCACCGCCAATCTTCGCCTGGTGATCAAGGACGTAACGATGATCGATGTAATTGGAACTACATATGGATCACAAAGAAGTTCCAATTTGCATTGGAATTCCAACGTATACTTTGGCTAATAATTCGCTGGTAAGTCTCCCAATCGACTGAGATATTCAAACTGACCCGGACCTTACTTAAGATAAAGACTCCTAAAAATAGCATTTAACCCAAGAGCAAAGCTAATTTTTTTTATCCTCTTTCAAAGTTTGCACAACGTTTTTAGATACATTTAAATAACTAATGTAAAGTCTTCAATAATTGATTTAATTTCATCCAGTTTCATCACTTCATAAGTTATTTTTAAGACTTCTGTCGATAAAAATAAAAGCTCACAAAAACTTTTTCTATTTAAAGTAAGAAATCTGTATTGTGATCAGCGAGAAGTCAGACTGTAAACGATTTGAAATATTTTAAGTAGATATTATTGTTGAAATGAGCTTTAAACCCTTTACTCGTAGAAAAAATGAGTATACCTATTGTTTCCGAGGGAAAGTATGTGATAGTTAAAAGGCGGCGTTTTCCAACTAATAAAGTAAAAATATTCTTGATCAGGATCACAAGCCGAATCAATTTAGCTATGACCATCTGTGCGCCTTTTTGTTGAACCGTTTGACCTGTCTTGGAAACCAGGGAACGAAAATAACTGTTATTGTAAATTTTTCATACAAAAAAATCACGCACTTAGAAGGGTCCTAAAAAATTTTTAAATACACCACAATTTTTATTAGCCATTGTAGTTTACAAATCCGTAATGATTTTTATTTTTTGATTTTTATAATAAAACTCAAAAAATAACTGTTATTTTTTGATTTTTATGAATAACAGTTATTCCTTTGAAATTTTTGAAAAAATGAAATAATTAAAAAAAACATGATACCCGTGCTTTTTATAACTTACTAAAAATTTGTTAAAAAAGGCAACCGCGCATATTTTATACCTATATTTTTTTAAAATTTTGTTTACCCACAAAATCGCCATAAATCAAGTTTGAGTTTTATTTTTGATCACGACGAATAACTGTTATTTGTCAACTTTTATTATAAAACTCAAAAAATAACAGTTATTCTTTGAGTTTTACTTTACAAATCAGAAAATAACTGTTAAAGTGTGATTTTTAAAATAAAACTTATAACAGTTACGTTCCCTGTTGGAAACTATTATTGCTTTAGGATTTGCATGTGATTTTGATAATCCTAAGAGAAAAGGGTAGTTGATAGTCGAGGCACGCAACTAGACCGTTCCATTTCTTTATAATTTGCTATAATTTAAAATGGAACATTTCTTATTGCGGTTCATAATTTGTTACAGTTGCCAAACCCGTAAAATTACTACAAATATGAGAACGAAAGCCAGCTTCGGCCTATTGGCAATATCTTAACGAACATCAAAATTCCACATATTTTAAAACGTTTTTAGTAAGAGTAAAACTATTTTATTGTACCTCTAATGCATTTATAGTTGCTGTATCTGCGTCACCAATGTCAACTAAATTATTTAAATAATAATGCGTGAACAATATTTTTTAAGTTTACTTTATTTTCGTTCTGTGCATTTCTGAAAGTTTTGTAAAGTGTGTGCTTCTGTTTTTAAAAGAACTTGTTGATTTCGATTTGACAGATAAAAATATACCTGGCGCAATTTGTAAAACGTCATGAAATCGTAAACCACCTTTACAAAGAAAGGTTTTGTTATCTTAAAACGTTTTTGGCACAAGTTTCTTTGCGATTCAAAAAATGAATTTTTACTGACTCCAATACGTAATTTCAGTTTTGGCGGCACGTTTTTCATTTTGTGTGCCATACTTATGAAATTAGAAATGCCAATTGCAGCGTCGCAATAACAATTTCGTTTTGAAATAAAGTATTCTAAACTATCAACGGGAGATAAATCAACTAAATTTGGCAATACTATTGCCAAAAGTAGGAGTAACTGCATTGTGATCAGCGAGAAGTCAGACTTTAAGTGACTTGATATTAATAAAGCATAAAGTCGTATTTAATGTGGAACATTTCCTGTTACGGATTCTAATATTAACTTAAGCGAAACCGATTCATTATGTAGGAAGGCCGACTTTGGTTTCAAGCCCCTACAGACAAGAATATCTGTACAAAAATCTCATGAAAGAACTACTAGAAAACGCATGATGGAACGGCAGGAAAAAGCAACATATTTTTACAAAGAACCTTTGAAACACTTTTATATGGTCATTTCCAATTCGTTTCTTGACCTGGAAATTTCTCAAAAAATATGTAAAGTTGAAGAAGTGTAATGTTCTCTCTCTCATAGCTTTGTCTTATTCCTTCATTTGATAATCACTCTGCATGTAACACAAGACTCGCCTGGGTGATCATTAGCTAATACGATTTGGCAGCCGGTTTCGGGGGACCAAATGCATCATATCTTGGCATCCACATGTTCTGAAATTTTACAAGGATTAAATGGTGATAGTTTCCAAAATGCTTCGGCCAATACTGATTTTCATGCTAGGGGTTTTGAGGTTGCAGGTAACACATTCCCTGAAGATGCGTTATTCCTCAACATTTTCCCTCATGATTCTGTAATGTCTTCTGGCGGATTTTGGCGAAGTCTTTATTTATGTTTCTTAAGATTTAGCACCGAATTTTGCCATAAGAGATTTATTTTTCATTGATGTATTCCTTTAAGACATCAAACTAATCTAAAATATAACTAATTAATTGAACAATACTTTCTTTAAAAAAATTTTTGTGGATGGGGGCTTAAGCCTAATTTAAATTTAACTTCTTAAGAATGTAGTCTAAGAGAAAACCATTATTATAAAATGTAAATAAAACAAGTGGATTGTTTGAGGCAAAAAGCTCCGATCAGCTGATTTTCTGTGGCTCTCTTTCTCGAAGCTTTGAGTCTGGTTTCCGATTTACTTTGCACTTCTTTCTTTTACTTTGCCGCGGTCTTTGCCTTTGCCTCTGCTTTTGCACTTTTTGTGTTTGCCCGCTCGTGGACTTCTGTGGCATGGAGTTCCTACGTCAGTTTGAGTTTGGTTCGTAGCGCGTTCGCACACGCGCGCTCCATAGTTTATTATATAGTTTGTTCCCATCCGATCCGAGATCCGATCCGCCGATCCGTGCCTCTCGCCGCATCGCGCGCTCTCTAATCAGTTGGCCAACGTTTTGGGTCTGCGTACTTCGCGGCTAATTTCCAACTTAAAGAAGTGAAAAACAACAAAATCAGGCAAATAATTGAGTAATTAAAGTTAAACGTAAGAAGAGCTGCTCTGCCAAGTGTTTTGTGTTTGTGCGCCTTTTGTGTAACGGTCTGCTAACTGGAGCTAAATCTTAAAAGTGATTACGGCAAAGTGTTTGAGTAAATTGATTGTGGAATGGTTTTGAAAGCTTACGTGTGGATGCGATAAAGCGATCGATTTTGGTTTACTTTGAGAGGAGGAAGCATAAATCGAGAAGCCATCGAGAAACTGGGATTTGCTTGCCATGTTTTCATAAGCGGAAAAGAAAGTTTGATTTAGGAGAATCGGAATGTGATAAAAACCGAGAAATTAGTTTTGACTGGATAAAAGAAAACTTTTAACAACAAAATTTGAAAATTAACCATAAAAAAGTTAAAAATTAATCAATTATTAAAATACATATTTATTTTTTTTTGTCAGAGTATTGATTGATTTTTGCAGTGGAAATTTTGTTTGCTAGAATATTGGTAACGGTGATAAAATATATTATAACAAATAAGAAATAATTAAAGTTAGAAAGAGCTTCAATCATCCTAAATGGTTTTCATATCGTACTTCAAGTGATCTCATAAGATTATCTCATTTTAAAAGCAATATATAGCATCACAGCTACAAAGTGCAAAATCCCAATTATTGAATTCAATGAATTCATAACGTGTTTGCTACTAGGGGAAAACAATCATTTGGCTGCTTACCTTTAAATAAAACAAGAGAGAACGCTATAGTCGGGTTGGTGTCCCGACTATTTAATACCCGTCACTCAGCTAAAGCGAACGCTGTACTCGGGTTGGTGTCTTGATTATAATCGTAGCTCAGCTAAAGGGAGTGCGAGGGAGATAG